TGTGGCTTGAAATCCTAGCAATACTGTAGTCACATGCGATCACATTTAATTAGATGGACCTTTACTGTGTCATGCTGTCATGCGGGCACATTGTGGTTCTAATCAATTGTGATCTGTTATGACTGAGAAAAGACTGACCTTTGACACAGGTAACTAAAGATTGGAAGAGATGGTGTCTGTTCAGTGTGTCTGCTGGAGAATGATTAACATCTGTCTTGTGTCAGGATTGGACTATGAAAGTACTGCTGCTTTCTCCACCATTAATCATCCGGTTCAGGACAGGGCTTATCGAGCTGACGTTAGACACTCCCTCCATGTACATTTACTTTGTAAAAACACATCTGACCTTGGGCAAGGACATTTTTGATTAATTGGCTGATTGGCTGAAGGTAATTTAATTTGAATATGTCCCTCAGCAGCTGTAAAGGGATGGAGGGTGGACTACCTCCTCATGAAGGTCACACTGCTCATAACCTCTAAGCGTTCTGCAACAGGCTTGTGTGCAGAAGTGTGCAGTTATGTATGTGTGTATGTGTGTGTGAGAGTTTTCCCTCAGGAAACATGCCTTATTTGTGCTCTATGCTGGTACCTAGTCAGGTAATCTTTAACTGTAAAGTTTTTTGTTGTTTGGTCCCCTCACCTTGAGTAGAGGTGGAATGCAGCAGGAACAAGCAGAGGGTGGTCAGTGTTTGGGTTTTAGTTTCTATGTTAGGCTGATTACTAGGGTCAAATCTGCACTGGGACGCCCTCCTGTTTAGGCGAGGAGATTTCTAACCATGGCACTGCCGTCCTTGCACAAAGTTTTGACTCGAAACTGTTAATAAATTAACTATCAATTGAGAACTTTAACTATCAACAAATGTTCTAAAGGAAAAAAACCTTTTGATTTTGGTCATGAAGAGCTCAGCTTTGTGGGTTATAGTGGAATGTGCCAGCAGAGTTCTTGGCATCTCTACTGCTGCAGGTAGGACTGTGTCTTTGCTGTTCTTTTGTAGGCCATTGTTTCACTGAAAGTGCTATACATAACCTTCAAATATAAAAATATATTTTATGCATTAGTAGTCATTACAATGTTTTACCCCGTGATTGAAGTATAGAATTCTAAAATGTGCATTTTGTGCTCATTACCCAACATAACCTGCTTTGAAATGAGGGAAATACAGGCTGATTTGTTCCATTGTAAAGGTAATGACTAATTTAATTTGAAATAGAGCATAAATGTATATGCAAAAAAAATGGGTAGGGATGTATAGATTAAATTTTATGTCAAGTCCAACAATTATAACCCCTGTTATGTTACTGCAATCATTCCCCAATTTAATTTTTTTTAATAATAATAATAAACAAATACCAAGCTTTTTTTTTTTAATAAAAAATAATAAAAAATGTTTAAGAGACTGTTCAAGTATTAGATCCACGTTAACCCACAATGCTTAGCTTGTGAAATGTTTTTGCTTGCTTTATTGTTAATGTTCTAGAAATAAGACATTTTAAAACATCTAATTTTCAAGATGTAGATTAATATGAGTAAAACTAAAAGGTGTTATTAAATACATAAGAATACTAAGAGTAATACTTTTTAGTAATACAAAAAAATGCTTTTGAAGTATTTAATTCACAAATCTCAAGTAAATGTTTCAAATGTGCTTAAGGATTTCTCCAATTTGCCATAGACTTTGCATTGCACAGGGAACTGCACAATTCTCTCATGTTGAATAACATGTATTTTATTCAGTTATATTTATTTTTGGTTTGTACATTGTTTGTTGTTTTCAAAACCAGCACAACAATACTGATCTTAGGTTAATTTGCCCAGTAGTGGTGTGTGGCAAATCTGACATCTAGTGGCCACAATAAAAATTGCATTCCAAAGGTTTTGACTGCTATTCAACTGTTAAAAAGTATATGTATATATTATATTTAAAACACAGTGATTATTATTTTTCAGTTAATTACAGCATATGCTTCAGAATATAGATTTTTATTTCTATTGATTATGATTTCTGCAGGTTAAGTTTAATGTGAGCGCTGTGTGTTTGTTTCATCAGTGCTTTGTGCAGTGGGTTTAGAGACTCAGAAACAGGGAGAGTTCAACAGCTTGGCCGTCTATCTCCTGTGAGTATCAAAATTAGCTGCTGTGGGAGGCGTAGCACTTTGTTATTCAGTCTCAGACAAAGAAGGTACAAAAGCTGTCACTGGGGAAGTACATTTTCCAAAGGTATACCTTTGTACCTAAAGGGTGCATATTAGTACCTTAAAGGTACATATTAGTACCTAAAGTGTATATATTATCACCTAAATGGTATATAATAGCACCTGCAGAGGTATATATGTTAGTACCTTTTGAACGTGTACCACCCCAGTGACAGCTTTTTTTACTTTATTTTTCAAGAGTGTTCATATGAAAGTTCTCTGAGACATGCCTTCATGTCTGTCATAGGGTGGTGTATGCAACCGAACAGAATCATTCTAAGTTAGTTACACAAACAAACAGGCGACGGCTCATCACCCTTAGGAACATGGTCACTGAAGGCCACAGTCATTCCATTTCTAACTATAGCAGGCAATACAGTAGCACCTCTTGGGAATTACACACAGATGGAGGCAAATGGGCCTCTTGTCCCAGGTTATCTGATGTTTCTGGGCTCAATGCCAAACCAGAGAGCTTCTCTGCATGAACAACGGGGAGATATTTCCATTGGGATTAAACATAAAGTGGCTGTTCACATGCACGAACACCAGAAGAGTCAGAGTCAGAGTAGCTTTATTGTCATTCCAGCTCTATACAGTTAGCATACAGTGAAACGAGACAGCGTTTCTCCAGGACCAAGGTGCTACATAGACAAAAACACAGAACACAGGACTACAAAGAAACTAAAGTGGACATAATTAAATTATATTAAACAGGCTAAGTAAAAAGTTAAATATGAACTAAGAAGATTATTAAAAAAAAAAAACTAAAAAAAGAATACAATAAACAGCCAGGAAGTTTATGATCAAGTAACCGTTAAATGGTAATGAATGTCTAATAAAAAGCAGTGATTAAAGTCAACATTAGTCCATGTTCACAGTCCATTTTACTTTATTGTGGCGTGAATTAGGATTTTAAATGAGGAAACTTGTAAGGTGGGACTTCTCCCATTTTATTCTCAGGAATTGATTAGACTGTGAAAAGTTGGAGTTACATTACATTTGAATAATAAATTCATAATAAAACCAAGAACATGTATTAATAAAGTAAACAAGTACATTTTGATTTTGTTTTTACTTTAAAGTATGTTTTGGTATCTCTTATTGAACTATTTGTACTGTTTTTTGTTTTTTTTTACTAACAAAAAGTTAGGTATTTTATAAACCACTGCTTTACTTCTGTTTGAATTCTCTACAGGCTGTCTTCGGTGGTGATCATGATTTTTGAAGTTGCCTATTTCATTGACGCTCTGCTGGCAATGTGCCTTCCGTATGTTCAATCAAATTATAAAAGAATCATGTACTTGTGCTTGTTATGTCATAATCTGTGGTATTATTGCTATTTTAATCAATGCATTATAGTAATTCATATCTGTTTTTCTTGATTGGAGTTGTCCACCCACATGGAAGATTTTCATTCTTTGGAAGAAGATGGCCAATGTTGGGGGTTTTCAGAAGTTTCTGTACTACACAATGATGTCTTTGATGTGTTTCCTGCATCCGGTGCTTGTATGGCATGCTGTAATACCAGGTGCTTCACTTTTTACATAAATTATATATTTGAAAAGTAAATAAATACATAATACATTTAACAAAATAAGTATGATTGAAAAACAATTTTAATTGGTAAATATCTGCTCATTTCTGCCAGTGAATACACTAGAATATAGACAAACTTAAATCAATTCATTTGGACTTTGTGAGATCTATAAGAAGTATTATTTTTTTAAAGATTTTGATTGGGAGTCATATAGTCTGTAAAAATACCCCCCCTCCCCAACCAAACATATTATGGACAGACATAACGGTTAACATGAATTTAGAAACTTTGTCTGTTTCTTTGCAGGAATTATGCTGGTAGTGACTGGATTCTTTAACTTTATACTGAGCAAAAAGAAGAAGTCAGATCCGCCTAAAGATTCCAGGTCATCGTATAGAGACCCGGCTCTGTCTTCTGTCTGTGTCACAGAGAGGGAGGACACTGAACACACATTCTCTTTCTTCCACATCATTTCAGGCAAAAGAGCATCTTTTTTTCCAAGCAATAGCCGACTGCATGGCCCCACAGACAGGGCTCAGACAGCGAAGAATTCCCAACGCAAGAACAGACAAACAGACACAAGAAATGTGCACTTCATTGAGAGTCTCAGACATAATGATCCTGAAATGGAAGAATACCATGAAGTGGAACCATTGGATACCACGTCAGATAAAGCACCAATGATTAGACTGTAAACGTGAGAGATCATAGTGTTATAAATCATTTTAGGCATGAGGTGCTAGGTAAGACGTTACAAATACCTCTACTCAAAATCTGACCAATTATTCAAAGAATGAAAATTATTTTTCTTTATGTTCACTTATTCGTGTGATGGCAAAGCTGAATTTTCAGCAGTTATTACTCCAGTCTTCAGTGTTACATGATCCTTCATAAATCATTATGGTGAATTTATTATTATCATCAATGTTGAAACATTGAAAATGTTGTTCTGTGCATTTCTGTGGAAACCATGATTTTTTTTTCTCACATGACTAATGGATAAAGTTGAAAAGAATAGCATTTATTTGAAATAAATATCATTTTTTAAACAATATAAAAGGCTTTAATGTCACTTTTGGTAAATTTAATGCATCCTTGCTGAACAAAGAAATTGCATATACAAAAATTATTTTTTACACCATGTTTTTTGTTTTGTTTTCACCAAATGGCAATCATCTCTATTGTAAAACAATCAGCAGCAGATCAAAAGCAAATACATTGTAAAAATATTGAGTAACCTAAAAAAAATTATTTGTGTAGTGACATCTAAATTAACTGGTTTTATTAAAGTGTAATGTAGTAGGACTGAATCAACCTGAATCATTTTTTTATATATGCTCATAGTCTTTAACATCTTTTTTTTTTTTTTTACAAGATTGAGCTCCTGAAACAACCTTTAAACACTGTCAGCCAAAGAGTTGCTTTTTATTCCAGTCTGTAACCTTATGCCTGGATCTCCTGCATCCAGTCTCCATACGTCAATACAATTAAGAGATTCCATTCATCATACTGACCCAGAAAAGAGGGTTTTCAGCGTAAAGACTGGACCGCAACCCCCAGGCGTTATTCCTCTCCATTAACCTGTATGGATGACTTCAACATCCTGAATACTTGAGTATGCTGCATTCATGTGTGTTTTTCTTGGTGTACTTCATGGAAAAATATTCAATCACACAGGAAATAAATTCTTTGCACTTATGCTGTGGGTCTAATCAAATAGCGTCAGTGTTTTACTGGCATTTGCTAATGGAGAGTCGCACATGGGCACTGTTCAAAAGAACTGGAGTGAAAAATCTGAGCATCAGTGGGTCAGGCAATAATGCTTTCTACGCCAATAACGAGAATGACAGATGCAAATAAACCCAGTAAATCATCATACAGCAAATCTTCCTTTATCTTCTTTGGCTTAAAAATGCCCCTTAATAGCTCAAAATGATCTAATACAAAATGAAGACAGTGGGGAATACCCATAGGCCCTTGTACTTGGATGATCTAAACAGCTATACCTTAGAATTCACAAAAGATTAACTCTTTTTTTGTTGTTTTAAATAGATGTTTTTGGGCCACTATTAAGATGATTAATGTTACCTTTAGTGAACATTACTGTTCAATGCTTTCCATTTGTCTCCACACAGATGAATAGCAGAAGTGCAGTTTAATGTGTACTTCTGTGGGAAGTTAAGTTTATTCAATGTATGGTTGAGAGTCATAATTTCCTGTCCACATTTAACATTAAAATATGATCTTTTCTAAATTTAAGCCAATTCAAATGACATCGAAACAATGATATTTTAACACAAATCTGAGGTCATTCTACTTGCAGCTATAGCTAATCTCATCCAAAAATAAAAAATCCGTCACCATTTATTCCTATCATTACTCATGTTGTTCCTTTTTCTGAGGAACATAAAAGAAGATTTTTTTTTTTTTTTTTTTTTTTACAACAGAAGTCAGTGGTCATCAAACTGTTTTGGTTAGGCTACCAAGCAAGCACTATTCTTCAATATATATGGGAAAGAGAGTCATAGGCTATAGGTTTAAATTCACTGTGAAGTTCACACTGAAATATTTTGAGTATTTAAACCAGGTTTACAGTGTATTCACTTTGTTTCTAAATTCATAAAAAGTTCCCTTATTTGGCAAGTGCCGTTGATATAATCATGTCCCTTTTAAAACAAATCTGTCTTCCCATGAGGGAAGTGTCTTGGCAACTCAAAGCATCTACTTCCTCAAATATTTTATCCGACCTTTCGGTGTCATATTTTCCTAGATGGTATTCTCAGGCTGAGCTAAAAACAGGAAGCTCATGTGCCCCAGTTGTCAGACTGAAAGAAACTATCTAGCGTTGCATTTATATGCGTGCTTAAGTGTTAATCCTTACACATTTTATTTTAACTGAAGCTTTAAAAATTATTAAAATCCTACAGCTTAATGAAGTTGTAATATGACAGGTGGACCGAATGCAATTTAACGGCAACCTTTCATTTGCAGCTTAATTGTCTCGTGGTGGTTATCGCACGAATAGCGATAATTATCTCACAGACATGCTAATAATGGTGTGAACGGTCCCGGCGTTTCCCAGGGCAACCGCAGAAGACTCCCGCCCACGGACGTCTCTGATTGGCTCCTGTACTCAGCGGAGTGTCGGATTGGTTTACACAGCTGCCATTCTTCTCAACGAGTAGCGTTATTTTGACCGTCTATTCCCCGAGGAAGCAGCAGGGTGAAGTGGAAGATAAGACGTTGTGTCTTACAAAACAGCTGGGCTTCGTCGGCTCTTACAAAGGAACGGCGTTTCATGAGATGGTAAGGACAATATATGCAAGGAAACAGAAAAGATATGTTCTCTAGACAAGAGTGCGTGAATGGATATGGTTTCATTTTAGATGTTTTTTTTTTTTTCTAATTAATTCTGCAGGTGAACTGTAGCCTATGTGCCGCTGTCTTCTTTTGAAGGCTACCTTGACTTCTTCTGAAACTGTTCTCAGGTGCGTGTCTTTGTACAGCTGTCAAAACAAACTGTAGGCCTACTTGAGTGAACCATCTGACAGGCTACATATTTACCAGATGTGTCAGGATTGTGATATTTTCTGTATGTTTCCTTTTCATAATGAAAGCAAATCAAAAATAGCCTATTTGAAACGTATGTGTTTTGCCGGTGTCTTTCAAATCCATCCAACTTCTCCAAAATAGTGACAGAAATCCAGAAGTGCTTAAGGACTCTATGCCTGATATATTCCTGCAGCAGAGAGTCTCAGCTGTTTTGCAGTAATTGACTGGGTGGTGGGCAGGGGGCTTCACAGTGTAATTTCTTTATGCAGGTGGAGAGCATCTCTAGACATGACCCCTTGTTTTTAAATCAGTCTAATGCACAAGTGGGATTCTTTCTGGTAGACACAGTAGATTGTGTTATTTTTTTTTTCTCGAAAGGCGTTTCTTGCCATGAGACTAAAGTGGCATATTTAATAATTAACGAGAATGGACATAGACAGAGGTGGGGTTAGTTCATAGAATATTCAAATTATTTTCCTTCACTGAATAGAAGGCTTTTGTTGATTGTATTTAGGTGAATACAGGTAAATTGGGACACTTTCAGATAATTTGTGTAAATTGTATTTTTAAAATTAAATGTCAAATGGCTTTATTTCAAATATGGACATAAAATAGACTGAGAATTGCACAAAGACCATGCAAAAACTTTTACAAGGTTTTATTAGAAAAAAAAAAACAGTACAAAATATATACAAATTCCATCTACATAATACATATATCATTTATCTGTGCAAATAAAAAGCAGGCAGGATAAATGTCAAAGACACATAGGGCCCTATCATACACCCGGCGCAATGCGGCGCAAGTGTCTTTTTCTAGTTTCAGCCCGACGCAGTTGGCATTTTCACGTCTTGCGCCACGTTGTTTAAATAGCAAATGCATTTGCGCTCATAGGCATGCTGGTCTGAAAACGAGGTGTGTTCAGGCGCATTGCTGGCGCGTTGCTATTTTGAGGCAACTGAAATAGACTGCGCCATTGACCAACAAAAACCTGGTCTAAAGTCTGGCGCAATATTTATATTTATTTTTTTGTTATTTAAAGAGCGCGTTAGTAATATGCGCCTATAGGCGGGTGAACAACGCGCGTACACGTTGCTTGTTACACACACAGGGATGCGCAGCAGCACACAAACATTTTTAAAAATGAAAAATTAAAGGATTAAAATGTAAAAGATTATTATTGTGTACATAAATATAAAAATGCCTACATGTCATAATGGATAGTCTTTGCATGTATCAGAATTACGCACACAAGCAGATCCGTTCCCTCACTAAAGAAGCGTTCAGTTTTTCCGCTTGCTAATTCCGCCATGTAAATAGCGAATCCACCATATGGCGCGAGCGCAACTGGCTTTTAAAGGGAATGGGAGATGAGACTCTGATTGGTTTATGGCACGTTACGCCCAAAACACACCCATTACTCATTAAGAGAATAGGGACAACCCTTTTAAACCATGCGCGGGGCGCGCCGACCATTTTTCTCGTCCTTAAACAAAAGTGGATGCACTTATAAGTCTGCGATCCGCCGTAAAGCAAGCAAGAAGAAGAAGACGCCTCAGGCGCCTGCTGTTGAGAACGCACTCAGGACAGTTCGAACAGTTCGGACATTGCGTGAATCAGAAGTAAAAACGATTTGCCACCCTTCCAAACAAACTTCATTTGAAGTCTTATATTAATCATACCGAAAATGTATTTAATCTTTGCATCGCTTTATTAATGCTTAGACTATTGTAAAAGTGTTTTTACTAAAACAAACTTAAACCAGGTAAAGTGAGACATTTTAGTTTTGCATTTCATATTTCTTCCTTTTTCCTATTTCCTATCCTGCTGCATCTGTATTCACTAGATTTTGCCGTAAGAGAGCTCATATTTCCAGAGTTCAGTGGTATTATTTGTTTTATCATGCCCACTCATGCCTAATTTCAAATGAAACTAATCAGATGCAAAAATCATCTTGCCATTGCCTGGCTTTGTGCTTCCCACCAGATAAATTATCCCAACTCGCGACATGCCTCAACATGAGATATTGTGTAATATCCTCACACATTGTTAACAATTACACGGATTGCAAAATGTCCAGGAGGGATATAATTGCATGTTAATTATTACAGACTTATAGTTACAGTAAAGTAGTGAATTTATTAGAATAGTACTAGATTTGAGGCAGGGGCATCATGCACATTAAGAGGTCACATTAACTTACTTAATGTTTTTTTTTTTTTGAAGATGGTAAAACAATAATTGCATCTTGCCACGACAGGCAGTAATCACCAAGTATTTTCAGAAATGCAAAAGAGTAACATTGACATAAAAATACCTTTCGTGTTCCACATGAAAAAAAAACGTCATGTGAGTTATGAGTGACATGAGGGCAATAGATGAAGACAGAATTTCAGTTTGAAGCAAATGATCTGTGGAAGGAGACTCGATCGGAATTGCCAAATTTATACATGATTTCTGCAAAAGTGTTTTATACGAACACTTTTTATGACAATTTATCAAAGGTACATATTTTCAGAAGCTGCACTTAAAATCCACTTGTCTCATAAATCTTATGTAGCACAACAAAGTCAGATACCCCTGAAAGGGAATGATGCTTTTTTTACTCACATGATTTGAACCTTGTTGCAAAGAGGTTCTTTCTGTCTGATCGTGTAGTCTGTAATTTTTCTCCATTGCACTGAGCCAGTTTCCTCAACACACTCACATTTTTCACGATGGGACATTGCAGCGGTCCTGTTATCTAAAAACAAAGCCAGAAACATAAAACCATGTGTAAACCCACATCACCTCCATGACCAATATCTGACAAAAATCTGTAAACTGTCCTGATAAGTATTTAAATGCTACTGTAGGTTCTTTCTGTCTGATCGTGTAGTCTGTAATTTTTCTCCATTGCACTGAGCCAGTTTCCTCAACACACTCACATTTTTCACGATGGGACATTGCAGCGGTCCTGTTATCTAAAAACAAAGCCAGAAACATAAAACCATGTGTAAACCCACATCACCTCCATGACCAATATCTGAAAAATCTGTAAACTATCCTGATAAGTATTTAAATGCTACTGTACCTGTGATGAAGTGTAAACAGATTGAGATTAGGAGAAGCAGGCAGACATTTGATTGCAGAGTCCTGAAAGCCATTTCTCTAAAGCTGTGTCATTCACAAGAATGTCTCTCGAGTGTGTTTGCACAGAACTGTACTCTTGTTCTTCCTCACTTTCCCTCCTTAAAGTATTTCCTGTTTTGCCATATTAAGCAGGATCAGAGTCACATGATTTCAGGTAAATGAGATGTGATTGCTCAACCACCTTGTGTATGTTGGTTTTGGGTCTGGAATGCTATTGTTCTGTCGGTGGTTATATGGTTCAGAAAGTTTTTACTTGATCATGTGCTTTTCTGTATCCCACACATTGAACCAGTGAATATACAAAAAATTCAAAATCAGAATAACCATGTGCTGCATGTGGTCTATTCTATTCTGTTCTGTTCTGTTCTGTTCTATTATTTTAAATGACTAAATCTGACTGCATTAGGTTATACCAGGTAATATTTAAGTGTTTAATAGTTCCTTTTCAATTGCATTGCACTTTTAACAGTATAGAATTTCCAAAAATGTAACTTCTCCAGGCCTGGATCCTTGTGAAAACCCTGACATTAAGTTAAACCATCAGCATTGTACTTTGTTTGCATTTGGGTATATTTTGGTATATATATATATATTATTTTACATTTATATAGATTTCTATGTATCGAACGTCTGTAACATGATTTGACATCCAACTGTTAAATTTAAGACAAGAATTTAAGAATTGTATAGCAGAATTTAGTCCTATGTAAACAGACATGAGAACACAAGAAAGTAGAGAAACACACTGAAGTTGTCTTTTTTTGAGTTAGTTCATGTTTATTATATTTATATTAAACTGTAAACTGTAAAAAAAATCATTTTCTGTGATCACTGAACAACACACATTTATAAGAATATATGCATTTATGAGAACAATAAGAATATATAACTGTATAAGAATTTATAAGAATATAAAGCTGTGTCTTCTGACTGGCCGGTACGTTAGACCTGCATAGCAGGGCTCATACTCATCCCTGTATAACATGTCAAGGTTAGATGCTGTCCTTGTTGTAACATGTCTTCATTGTCCCTTGGCCTCCTCCATACACATGTGCACTCCTCTGAATTCAGCCTTTTCTTATGTCCTTGGCTTGTTTAGTGCATATGAATGTACAGCAGCGCTAAAGCACTTTGCACAAGCTTTGAAGAGTATTCTCTCCTGTGGATCTCTTACGTTCTTTGCCTCAGTGTCTTTAGTATTTGAGGTTAAGACTTGACCTTCCTGGATTTAACCTGCTTCCTGTTTCTTCGCCTTGGCTTTTGCTTTTGTCGGCGTATGCATTTTTTGCTGTCCTTGCCATCCTTTTGCATGCTGAAAAAAAAAAACCCCCAGTAGAATCAAGCTCAGCAGATTAAGACTTGCAGACCACCATCATGTTTGGAGATGTTTGGAGTGAGTGATTTTTGGATACGCTGTGCTGTAGTTTAGAGACTCATACAGCAATAATACTCTCTTACCTTTGCCAACATTTCAGCAGTCTTTTGCCTTGGGGACCATCTGGACTGAGACACACGAGACTATTATTCTTCTGCCGTGTGACTCTAATGAAAAATACAGAGAATAATAGCATATGTAAACCCAGTTCTGCATGTACATTTAGAATCTTATGAAGTAAAATGTATGTGAACTACTTACATGATCTCATCCTGTAAACAGTTAGGTCCTTTTAGAGTGACTTTGAAATCTGAAAATAGTCCCTTGACTCTTTGTTTGACCTGTGGACACTGACAGGTCTTTGGAACATATTGGCTCTCCACGACTTGGACTGTATTTAGGAAAATAGAAAAAGTACAATTATTAAACAGCCATGATGTATAAAAAAATTTCAGAGTCAGTAAGATTTTTGTACTTTTTTTAAATAAATTAATAATTTTATTTAGCAATGCATTTAAATGACCAAAAGTGACAGTAAATGCTTTTGACACAAAATATTTATATTTAAAATGCTGTTCTTTGTAATCTTTCTATTCACCAAAGAATCCTAAAAAAGTATCACAAAAAAAAAACCAAAACAAATCAGCATATTAGAATGATTTCTGAATGATCATGTGACACTGAAGACTGGAGTAATGAAAATTCAGATTTGCCATCACAGGAATAAATGGCATTAAAAAAGTAATTTTAAATTGTAAAATATTTAACAATATTACTGTTTTACTGTATTTTGATCAAATATATTAAGCCTGGGTGAGCATAAAAGGCTTCAAAGGCATTAAAAATGTTTCGAACGAATTATTATTCTAATTAAAGTAATTTATAGTTAAACTTGTACAGCTAGTTTTGCAGAGATTTTGCCAACTCAGTTATAACCCAACAGGTGCTCAGTTATTGTTTTAGTTCAGTTACTGTAGTTCATCTGTTCTGATACACTCACCTGTTAGAAGGATGCTGAGAGTGAAAGCCAGCAAAGCATACACTGTCATCGTCATGATGAAAGTGTTTCTGAGTGTAAGTGCTTAGTGGCTTGCTGTCGTTTTATACTCCTATGAGGGACTTCCCAGCTCTTGTGCCACTCCTGGAAATTCCAGTGCTTTGTCGCTACTCCCACGGGATCAAGCCATTTGAACACAGATAATAGAGAGGCATTTACAAAAGCCTGGAAAAAACGGCAGGAATCTTTAAAAACTTGGTCACATATAGATTATGCAGGCTATGAGCAATTCCTTATTCACATTTGACACAAAAATGTAAATCCTGTCATGATTTCCTCACCCTCATGTCATCTCAAACCTGTATGCTGTTATTTTTCATTGTTGAAAGACTTCTGAATCCATATTGTAGTTTAATATATGGAACAGATTCCTAAAATGGAATCTCATTTGCATCTGTGCCAGATTCAAAAGTGCAAAGTCAACGTCTCAAACCAGCCACTAATTCTCACGTGACAAATCATGAAGGGGCAGTTTTGAATACTGATATAGAGAAAGAGATTTGAGAGATGCAAAAAATAAATTATAATTATATACAGAATGGTGTGAAAAAATTAATTACGATTATATTTATAATAATTAAATTATTAATGAATAATTAATTAAAGTCATACGGGCTAGTTTTATGATGCTTTTTTCTCTTTTGGAGCTTGTCAGATGCATTTACTATGATTTGTATTAATCGGAAAAACAGCTGTGTGAAGAATCTTCAAAACTTTTCCACTGAAGAATGTATTACTGTTCTGTGACCTCTCAGAAGGTCTGAAAACATGCCATGGCAAGCCTTATGGCAAGATTACACATTCTGTTAACTGTAGGACCATGTGATTTCCTCATATTCCTGTGATTACTTTCACTTTGCACAAGATTCATGGTGACATAAATGGTTCATTTGGATTATGAGTATTTTTGAAATCACATAACACAAGGTATTATTCACTGTTAATCACACACTTGTTCTTGTTCTTGACATTATTAACTTTGTCTCTTTCTCCTTGCTTTCTCTCCCATTGTCTTGCTTATCTCTAGCTGAAAGCCTTTCTATTGAGGAACCCCACTATGGATCCTGACAAGACCTCCTATGTGAGGCTGAATGAGGAGAAAGTAATTGCAGAGTAAGATTTCCACTTTTGATACACACTGAACATTAGAAACATGCCTTCTTACTAAAAGCCCTTGTTGTTAAATCATGTCCCTTTTTCAGGTCTGATATTTTGTCCCTTCTAAAAACGTACAACTGTTATCACGAGGGAAAAAGCTTCCAGCTTCGGATTCGTGAGGTATGTTACATCACGGGAAGTGAAACTAACTGCAGACCTAAATCAAATCTTTTGTTTCCTGGTTAGTGATTAATAGATCTAATCTGACCAAGAGTTGAGTCAGAGTGTGTGAGACAGCAAAACAAAAAGATTATTGTCTCAGAATATGGATGTGGGACATTGGAGTAAATCCAAGTGTGGCATTCCTAAAAATGCTGGTTAAATGGGCCTAGATGACATGTGATTGGCTGCATCTTTAAGCATAACATTATTATGTTTATATTATAATAATTATATGACCCTGGGCCACAAAACCAGTCATAAGGGTCATTTTTTAAAAATTGGAGATAGGAGATTTATACATCAAACATCAAACCTGAAAGCTGAATAAATAAGCTTTTCACTGATGTACAGTATGGTTTGTTAGGATAGGACAATATTGAGACAAGATACAAGGATAGGACAATATTTGGCCGAGATACAACTATTTGAAAATCTGGAATCTGATGGTGCAAAAAAAATCTAAATATTGAGAAAATAGCCTTTAAAGTTGTCCAAATGAAGTCCTTAGCAATGCATATTACTAATCAAAAATCAGGTTTTTATATATTTACGATAGGAAATTTACAAAATATCTTCATGGAACTTCTTACTTAATATCCTAATGATTTTTGGCATAAAAGAAAAATCAATAATTTTGACCCATACAATGTATTGTTGGCTATTGCTACAAATATACCCGTGCGATTTAAGACTGGTTTTGTGGTCCAGGGTCACATATGGCTTTAAAAAATATGTGGCTTTATGTAACTATTGGTGAATGATACCAAAAAAACTTATTGTGATTATATTTATGAGCAGAACTGGGTAGATTACTAACAGATTGTAATCTGTTACTGATTCCAAATTACATGACACAAATTGTAGTTAGTTACATAATCCATTACATTACACATTTTAATAGTAATATATTCAGACTACTTTTTGATTACTTTCAGTTTACTTTTGACCTAACTTGTTTATGTAAATAAGAAATCATGTGAATTTGTGCATTTTAATGTGTTTGAAAGACAAAAGCCTTCCAAAGACAAAGTCATACATGATTAAATAACCATAGTTCATCCATAGTTGATGTAATGTTGAAATGCTAAGAAAAGGTTTCTTAAAACTGAAATGATTTCTTTAAATCCAGTGGTGATATGCTGTTTGGCTTCTCAAGTTTCGGTGTAATTACAGCCACCCGACTAGTGACTGATCTTTGTGTGAATGACCGCAGAAGACTAGAAGACTTTCTGACAGTAGGTAGTGGTATAGGCTATTTTAGAAAGTACAATTTAAAAGATGAAAAAGAAGAATTAGGGAGAATCAACAAATTATGAATAATTTATTGCTATTAAGTGAATAATATGTAATCATGTAATCAACAAAAAGTAACTAGTCTGATTCCAAGTATTTTAAAATGTCATTTCATCTAATTACAAGTACCTAATTTTTGGAATCTGATTACGTAATACAGATTTATGAATCATTATTTCTGAGTGAAATCACAGATACATGTACATGCACAGCTAGTGAACAAGTCTCTTTATCCGTTTTCACACTAAAGGCCATTGCAAGGTCATGGGGAGAGATGTAATTATTTACTAAACGATCTACAAATTATTTACAATCTGTTTCTGTCAGTAACAATGACCTAGTGTACAAACAAGCTCCTAATTATTTCCAATTTTATCTCGAAAAAATTATTTACTAAACTATCTACAAATTATTTACAATCTGTTTCTGTCAGTGAACATGACCGGGAGTACAAACAAGCTCCTAATTATTTCCAATTTTATCACGACAAGTAACTTAACAAGTGTTTTTAATAGGAGGTTTGTGTTTGTGCTCAAATTGTTATGATCTTTTGGATCTGTTACAGTCTCTGGGAAACCCCTGCAGGCTGCTTGTGCTTTTAGAACAAGGTCAAATTTAATCTCAGTATGATACTGAAAGTAAAGAGATTTTCCACTGTTCAGACACACATAGTGACTAAAATAACAGTTTTTAAAATAACTGTCATTGTGTGACTATGCATAATATATTACACTTTTTGCAACTAAATGCCATAAATGGAACAGGAAGTGCTTTATACATAAATATGCCACATTTGTACATAATACAGACTGAAAGGCCATCAGACTTGGTGCTTTTATTTAGGTGTGTTTTACAGTATGTGCCTCTGGTTGTCTTATTTTTTGTGTGTCTCTATGAGTGAATGGTTACTTTAAAATCTTATGTGACTGAATGAGTTCATGCTCAAATATTTCTACAGCTTACTGTTACACATATTTTGTATTTTTTTATTATTAAAATGTACTGTTGAATCAGAATAATTTACATTTGGCAAAGTTCTAGGATCTAAATGTTGAAATGCCTGTGATGACAATCCTGTTTAGTAACTCCACTGAAAAAAAAAAGTTTTTTTTTTCAAGATTATCACATGAGATTGAGTCACAGGTATTGTGAGGATAAACGGATACTACCATGTGATAATATCTGTATGGAGAACGAAAGAGAGAGAAAGGGGTGAGGGGAGGGGCAGATAAGTACAGATTGATGAAAGACACATTAAGATAAAGACTAAAGGTCCAACGGAAAGTGAAAGTGCTGAAAGGAAATTAGTAACTGTGATAGATTGCAGGAGCCTAGTAAAGTAAGTAAGTATTGATGTAGCAAGGTTTGTCATGCTCTGGGTTCCCTGATGATAGTGTACTTCTTATAAACCAGCTACTTTCTGTGTAGAAGCCCTGGCACTGTTACACCTGTGTCAATTTATGTGACAACAGGCCTACAAAGGTAAGACCAGATAAAAAGTGACTATATCTTCAGAGAATATTGCTTTATACAAGATCAGCACAGGTTTTTGAAGACCTCCACTTAAAATCAACTTTAAAAGTTGAGGAGATTGTCTAAGATATTCAGGTTCTATTTTATTTAATTAAGACAAAATAAACCTTTTTTTTTTGAGCATGTTGTTGTGAGAAGACCTACTTGAACCTGGGGACAATTAATGACTTCTGGGAAGTTCTGTGTATTATGATAAAATACAACGAGTAAAATGATGATTTACCATTGTCAGATTTATGTTTGAGGACTTTTAAAAACATGATAGATTACTTTTTCCCTTCTCAATTTCCTTTCACGTAACTTGAAGACTTTTAACTTGGTCCACGGATAGCCGAGTAATTGCCATTGAAGTAAATTTGTCTAGTTTAACCAGCCTAAACAACTGTTTATAAACGGCTCCATCTAAAAGTTATTGTAAGAAAACACTTCAGTGCAAGATCACATTTTGGTCATATTGCTTTTTGGTGTTGTTTAGACTTTGGTTTTGGGAGATGAGAGATTAGTCTCAGATTCCACAGAAGGCAGCAACCACCCACAATCTATTCGCTGAGCTTATTGTACATGTTGCGTGAAAAAATGCGTCTTTACACAACTTACAGAAGTCGAGGTGCACCAATTCTGGAAACATGCTTACACAAGTCAATGCACTTAAGGAAAAATCAATCACTGGAACTGACATTTCGCCAGGTTGGTGCGTCACATCTTTGAAAGATTATTGTGTGAGTAAGAAGCAGGTCTGTAAGCGAAAGAATGAAAATTACACTTTTGTAAGCAATTTCTGTGAAATAACCTGTACTTAGGCTACTACATCCCTACTGAAAAAAATAAGATAGTTGGCTGGTGTTAGCTGGTCATCCAGCCTGGTTATAGCTGGTCAGCAGGCTGGTTTTAGTGGGGTCTTGACCACTTCTTTAGCTGGCCAGGCTGGGAGACCAGATAAAACCAGCTACTTCAAGCTTAAACCAGCTGTTTTTTTAGCTTTTTTTTTCCAGCAGGGTTATAAACAGACAGAAACTCATGTCTACACATATTTTCGACTGTTTTTACTTTCCTTTCTGTACAGACTTGCTGTGTAATTATTTTAATAATCAATATATCTGTTGATGAGTTTTTCATGTTGGTATTATTGTGACTGAACTGGGTAGAAAACACCAGAAGCCACTAAAATTAAACAAACATCTACTATTCTGCATTACGTGTTGTAACAGTTTTATGATTCATGGTGAGACTACAAAAGAAAACACTTTTCTTACCAACATGTTTACTCCTTGTCCTCAGGCAGCAGGTCAGAATCAGAGCGTTCATTGAGCGCCCTCTGTTGGTTGTGTTTAGACAATGCTGTAAAATTGCATGCAGCCAACAGAGGTCGCCCTTAGCTTCGGAACTGAACTTAAAAAGATAGTTCACCAAAAAAAGATTTTGTGATAATTTACTTTCTCTCATGTTGTTCCAAACCTGTACGAAATTTTTTCTTGTGCTGAACACAAAAGAAGATATTTTGAATAATATTGCTTAAAGGGATAATACGGTGGGAAGCTATTCCTGATCTGTGAAAATGAAAGTGTGCAGAAATCTTTATGTCCGTGATAGCTAGAACTGCCATAACATATTCAGAAGCTGATGGTAATATTGTTATTCGTGTTGCATTTTTTTTGTCTTTTTCTCCCTTAGTCTTACTATAATTACATCATTAGCATTACTTTATCAGGTTAAAACAAACATACTCACACACTCATACAGATACTCATACAGATAGATAGATAGATAGATAGATAGTAAAGGACATATAAAAACAAGTCAAAATACATTCTTAAATTTTATTTAAAAAACATAACATAGAAAACCATGTCTTTAACAGCGTGTAAACATTAGCATCTTTGTACAAAAAGTCTGTTCAGACAATAAATTAAGACGTTCAGTTCATGAGATCCTCTGAGTTCATCCATCACTCGTTCAGTGTTATCCTCATCAATATGACGTTATGCTTTGGCTCATTAGAGTAACCACAAAGCAGCAGGTGCACTGACAGTCCTGCGCAAATCCTCTCTGTGTGACTGTTAATGCGTCTGCGCAAACAACCAGTCCAGTGGGTCTTTAGAGCCCCGGTCCACCTGACTGTTGAACCTCAGCGT